TCCTGACAAGCTTGCGTAGAGTCAAGAAGTTAGCTATGACCGTAGTTCGTTACTTCATTGTCATAATGCGTCATTATATGATGTAGTAAAAATGGTTCAGAGTTCAGGTCATACCTAATAACTTCTTTCTAGTGTTCTTCACTAGGGCTCATGTAATGACCACGTCGACTAGTTTCCGTTGGAAAGAATTTTTTGACAGTACGGTCTCCATATTTTTCCAGACTGCTGTGAGGATATTAAAATCTCCAAACATCGATCGCTTGAAGACCAAGTATCGAATCCACCTACTAACACCTTATTAACCTCACAATTGGAATTGATGTTTTCCAGGATCATATGCTATCCACGAAAGGCCTGGTGTTCATTTCGTTTAGTAAGACCTAATTCACCTAATAGTTTGGACTGCAATGAACTAAATCAGTCAGAAGCTCTTGCCCCTTGCGTATCATGAGATTACAAAATTTTCACGTTCCACTTTCGTAGTATATGTCGTCGATAACGGTAAGAGGAGAGCATTTCTAATGAATAAAGCTCTTCTCATCCTTCATGTTACTGGGTTCCGTCTGTGAACTTTTCGAATTCAAGTGTCTGCAGAGTCAGCCAAGTTCCCGTGACGGCGATTATGTTCAGCTTAGTAGAGTCTGTCTGTAAACATAGCTCCAACCACTTGTTGGGTAAGCTCAGAGGACAAATCTGAAAATCATTTAGATGGATTCGTGTTGCACTCAAAGTGGCCTCGGCATCTAATCTTAGTTTCAATTCTTTTTCAGCCTCTCTTTTACACTCTGCAATGATAAATCTTGACAACACTTTAGAGTATATACGAAAATGAACCACAATGACAATTTCTGGCCTCAGGTTTGAATTCAGCGAGAAAGGTACGAATATACTGGCCTTACGTTTCTTGGAGAACAGATTATTTAGAAACAGATTTTTGATGGATTTCGACACCATTGATACCTGTAGTCAGCTGCTACGTTACTAACATCAAGCTAAGAAAGAACACCCCCAAACTGGAAGTTTATTTTACAGGACTTAAAGTTCCTCGTTAATAGTTGTTCGTCATTGATGCTTACTACCCTCCAAAGTAATTTAGACAACTTTCATTCCTCTCAGCTTGCAGGACAAAAACGACAGGATGCTCTGGAGTGAACTGAACAAAAAGCTCGAACTTCCTGGAATAGAGCCTTTGACGGTCACACGGCTCACTCCGGGAAAGGAATCTAAACATCGAAATCACCCGAGACTATTTCGTGTAACACTCAAGAATGCTACCAAAGTAGAGGATGTCTTGCTAGCTAGTCATTTGCTGAAATCCGATGGGAACGTAAGAATACTAACCGACATACCGTATTCTGAGCGCAATATCATCCGGAACGTCCTTAAAGATTCTCGAGAGTTTTTCCGCGGAAGAAATATCATCGTGCAAGGTGTAACGGAGAACATGGACCCTAGTCAAGCGAACTCTGACATTCGGGAATGGAAATTCATCAAACAGTCCTTGAGGCTTAAAAACATGCTGACTCAGCATGTGACGAGACTAGCCAAGAAGGACGGGGATCCCTGACCCCGGCTCATAAGAATAACTTTTCCATCCTCCCATATAGCGGCTGCAGCTCTGGAGGCATTTCATGTCAACAGACGTCGGTTGCCAACTGGGATCCACATGCACCTCGACAGGCCATATGACGCCAGGATCAAGCACAAAGGCAAGCTGGAGCTGACCATTCCACTTGTGAACTGTCTTGAAGAAACAAAACGTGTAAAGGACAGGGCCTACCAATTCGACAAAACTTACATAGGTGGGTTACCTGTCCACTCACGTAAGGCTCTCACAGACAAACAGGAAGAAGCTCACGCATTTCAAATTGAATGTATTAACGCCGCTAGTCTACCAAATAAAATGGATGAACTAAGTAAACTTAGCAACGCTAATAAGGTTCATCTGATATGAATATCTGAAACTTGGATATCTCCTCAGTATTCAGACCAGGAGCTAGCAATACCTGGGATGTCTCTGTTTGCAATGACAGAAAACCAGGAATTAAGGGTGAAGTAGCCCTATACATACGATCTGGTTTGGAGGTACACCAAGTTCACAACCATGAGTTTGACAATTTTAAGGAATCTATATGGTGATCTATGAGATTGTCCACTACTTCGAGGTGCCTAGTTGGAGTCATATATAGGAAGCCCATTGCTGACATCAAATATGACAGTCGCATGCTGGAAGAATTATCCCGCTCTACGCGTCTCGGCTTCACTCATATCCTGATTCTAGGGGACTTCAGTTTCCCTAAAGTCAACTTCGCGGAACATACGTATACTGGAGGTGAAAATTCCATCGAAGCTCGGTTCTTCAACCTCATTGAGGATTTGGGACTACACGAAAATGTGAAGTTGGCTACTCGTTGGAGGAACAGTCAGACACGGTCGCGCTTAGACTGTGTTTTTACAAATGAAGAATTTCTAGTCGACAACCTCTCAATTCTAGCTCCTCTGGGGAAAAGTGATCACGCCGTTATAGCCTTCAGTTTCGTCAGCAAAACTGAGCTAAGATATCACAACAACAAAAGGCGTTGGAATTTCAAACGGTTGAATGTGTCAGCTCTACAGGACCATCTACAACAGGTGGATTGGGACGTTCACCCTCAACTCGATATGGACACTCACTGGAACTTCCTATTACACACGCTCTTATGTGCCACATGCAACCTACAATCATCAAAAACCGCACTCTTCGTTTGCTAAGCCTTAAAAGGCACCGTTCGGCAGAATACAAACGAACTGACAACAACGCCGCGTACAGGCAATACAAACATACAAGGAACATATGCATGAAGGCTACAAGAGAAGTCAGGCTTCAGTACCAGTTAAAGCTTATGGATAAATTTATTTCCAACCCGAAAAGCTTATTCCGTTACGCAGCCTCTCTTCGTCAAGCCAAAACTGGAGTTTCTCAACTCCTAGGTCCTAACGGCTCGACTGATAATGACGGTGACGCCGCTAACCTTCTGGCTGAGCAATACTCCCGAACATTTCAACCGTCCCACATCGACTATACTGATGACGGCTCGATCTGAAACTGCACAGGACTTTCCGTAGTGAAACTTGGTGTTCCGTAAACTACAACACATTAGAACAGACACTTTTCCTGGTCCAGATATGGTCCACTCTGCTATACTGAGGGAAGCAGCTTCAATCCTGGCAACACCGCTTAGTGTGATGTTCTCACACTCGCTAAGTCGAGGCAAACTACCGTATATTTGGAAGCTGGCTCATATCACACCAATCTTCAAAGGAGGTCGACGCAGCTAACCTTCAAGTTACCGACCGGTGGCTCTTCTCTCTATAACTTCAAAGATCATGGAGTCCCTGGTATACGAGATATACACGACTATCTGCTGTCCTTAAATTTCTTCTCACCCCAACAGCTAGGTTTCAGGAAGGGTTACTTCTGTATGACGAACCTACTGACTGCGGTGGACAGATGGACAAGCATCCTTGATCGCAACGGGAAGGTGGACATCATTTACCTTGATTTCTCTAAAGCTTTTGATAGGGTTAACCACATCTGTCTTATTAACAAGCTCAAACAATTGGGTATCAAGCCTCCTTTATTTGAGTGGCTCAGTTCATATCTGACAAATCGATATTTTAAGGTCAGGGTAAACTTCAATTTCTCACACTCTATGGAATGTCCTGGTGGGGTCACACAGGGTTCAGTATTAGGACCTCTTCTCTTTCTGATTTATATAAATGATCTTCCTCAACAGGTAACGTCAGACATATTGCTCTTTGCCGATGACGTGAAACTTTGGAGAGAGATACGCAATCGAGAGGACATACAGACACTTCAGGAGGATTTGACTCGACTTCAAAGTTGGGCAGACGATAACGGACTTACCTTTAACACTTCAAAGTGTAAAGTAGTCCATCCGCGACACATCGCAGATTACAGTTACAACTTAGGAAACTCCTCCCTAGTAGTATCCCGAGTCGAAAAAGATTTAGGAGTTCTGGTACCCCACGACTTACGCCAACTGTGACAAAAATGTCTTTCGAGCAAACCTTGCACTGGTAACATTCGAGCGCATTTTTGGTCAGTTTGACGGGAAAACTTTCCACATAATCTCCAATAGTTTCATTCGTCTCTATTTAGAGTACGGAAACATAGTATTTGTCCTACACTCCAAAAGGATAAGGACACTCTGGAGCGTATCCAACGGCGAGCCACGAAATCAGTTCGGGGACTCAAATTTAAACCTGACGATGAGCGCCTCCAATCATTCGACTTTTACCCATTAGAGTATAGGCGTCTTAGAGGTGACCTTCTAATGACGTACAGTATCCTTAACACTCCTGGACATCCTCTTAAACACCTACTTGAGCTTAGTCCCAACAATAACCGAAGGGGTAACACCCAGAAATTAGAGATATAACATAGTTGAACGGACTGCAGGCACAACTTCTACTCCTTAAGAGTTGTCAAATGCTGGAATTCGTTGCCAGTTGAGCTAGTCCAAGCAACTTCTCAGGAGTCCTTTAAGAGGCGGCTTGATCTATTCTTAAGGACTAAGGATAGTATTTTACTATGATTTACCAATTTATTATTTTCCGTTTTATCGTTAATATACATAAGTTCTTGCCTGGTGGAATTGGTGATCCCCTGCTATTAGACACGGAAGCCTGTTAAGCGAAAGCTTCTTCTATTCCGTCCACGACCATTTGAACCATTTGAACCATTTCATTTACACTTGATTTTATAAAACTTCTTTACCTGCTTACTTGAGGTCATACATAAAAAGCCCAGCGATCTGTTAGATTCAAAGAGAAGTGGTCGAACAAATTCTTGTTTAGTTCTACATAAAATTGTTTGCTACCACTTGGAAATATTGTACATTGAAAATGCAACCGAAGGCACTACTTGTTTTTATAGATAGTCTCGGTATTATTTGAGTGAGACTTTACTACTTGGGTGCTGTGTATTTATTCCTAAAATGATTGGGATAGAAGTAAAGGGACGTTTAAATCAATACATAAAAGTAAGTAGTGTATCCGCACATCTATAACATTTTTAGGCCGTCCTGCGCAACGTAGTTGACGAAAATGTGATTGTCTTCTACCCGGAAAAGTGGGTTTAAGCCATATTTTCCATCCCTCTCTTTTAGGAACGAAGAGGAACAAGTTCCGATAAAAAATGTGCGACTACCCCCAACTTCCGAAAGGTTAGTTTCCAAGCAGTATTAGTAGCTCTATAAAATAGCCGTGTCCTACATACATAATGCGCAACATAGCTAGCAGACTTCATGTTCAGAATACAAGGTCGTAGCCATCACTGATTGTTAACGGTGTTATCGAAATACCGGCAAGTAAGAAGGATCAGCGCCCTAGCGTCTAGTTCGAAAGACCTAGGCAATCAGTCCTTGATTCATGTCAATGTAGATCGTTTCGTTACTGCTGTATAAGTATCCAAATTTAGCTTAAGCTACCTTTTTCTTGAGTCCATGGTGTATTCAGGTATGGTTATTTTATCGAGTTTGGTTTCTATTAAGAACCTGAGTCTTCAGGAAGAGACCACTTAGCATTCAAACATCCAAGATTCGCCAAGACTGCTTTCAAGTACGATGAGTTGTATAATTCTAAAACTGAAGTGTTCTAAGTTCACTATGGCTAAAGTCGTGTTTCCCCTGCAAAGTGGTGGAGAAAGTTAACGAGTAAAACTGAAGCTTAAGAGAACTACTGGTTATATAGTGGAAGAATTCCTAGTAGTCAGTGAGAGACGTACGAAAATTTTAGCTGCAAGAACTGGAGGAGCATCGTTAGTATTGTCCCATAAGCAGAATTTCATCCTTCTCTTGTATGAGTTTATAGTATTTAGTGTTCGTATCTTCAGTTGTCGATATGTATTTACTTTCTGCGTACTAACGAGTATAAGCGTCTCATAGTGGCTGTTCTTGTTGCGAGACTTCAACATCAAAAGTACGGAAATCTCACTGGCAGTTTTGTCCTTTAGTGTTAATAGATATTCTCAATAAGTTGTACTCATGCTTGTTCTAGTAGCAAAGATATGGCTTGAAGATCTGGAGACTTAAATATTCGTTTTTTTTTTCTAAAAACAGGATATTCCGTGTAGTTAAGCACATTTAAAAGTAGTCATCATCACCCGGTCTATTCCTTAACAGATAGTTGTTTTCCACATTTTTTGGTTGACATCTGTCAATCTAATTCCGTGTCTTATTTTAAAAACTGGAATGTAGTTAATATGCTTACGTAGTCTGTTGGACTTACTGAACAATCGTGTTTGAAACAAAAGTTTGTATGTACTTTATGGTACTCAAAGTTCATTCTAGGTTTAAATACTATCGCATACTAGTATCTATTCATCTGCTTACTAAGTTCTACATGACCTTAAGCTAGTACGAAATGAAATAAATATTCGTTGTCTTAAAAGCTTTTTCAGAAGTCTTTTACGTTTCTAGGGATGTTCATCCTGGACAAAACGGGGAAGCCCTATTTTCTGTCGCTACCGATCAAACTCCAAGTTCCTCTAGTAATACAATTACACTGCCTGGCCGTTGGGGAGAGGAAACTAATGGTAAACCGGAAGTTGAACTCATACTAGATGATCAGCTGAATTATCTCCCTATTCCATCTTGGTGGCCTTGCCGCGTTGTCAAGATTCGAGATGATGTCGCGGTGGTGAAGTTAAATGTAACTCCGCCGGCCGATGCAACGCCCTCAGAAATTTCAGTTTGTACACAGCTTTCTACTGTTACCGAGATCGTAAGTCGTAAGTCCCTACGTCAGCCCAGTGATGATTGCCCATGTCTGTCACCTGATATCATTCACCGGCATCGTATTGAAATTCCAAAGGAATTGGCAGACTTGTAAGTCTATTTTGAGCAATGGAAACAAAGTACAGTTATATTGTGTTCACAGTTGTTTTTATGTTTTGTTTTTTACATTTAATTACTGCACTTGCCTTTTATACCACTTTGTGACGAAAAAAACTCAGATCGGGTTATCGAGATTTATAAGTTACCTATTTCTGAAAATCCCACTTCGTGATAACTTTTGACCGCTACGACATTTCCGCTGGAATCTTGATATAAGGTCACCAGGTAAAGACAGTATTTAACTTCATAATGATTGTAAAACTGTGACGCAAGTCCACTAGTTTCGCTCACGAAATTTAATGCCGTAGTGAAAAGTAGGTAGATTGTACTAGTTAGATGGCTGTGTGAAACTTTTCATAATTCCTAGTCAGGATTATAATCATTACTTCTCGTATTTCACATTAGCGTCCTTGAGGCGTATTGTTACTGAAATAACCGAAAACAGTGTCATTTTGGGTGACAATATCAACTCATTTCACGATTTACTTGAATTCGATTACATGCCGGCTGCTTTTTATTTATTTAAACATAAACATTGGTACAAAGGGGCACCGAATATTCCTACACCACACTTCATTTGATTTGTGTTTTGGCTTGAATACTGCCTAGGTTACGAGACCGGAGCAGGTAATTCTTTTAGGGACCACTCCTCGAGCCTTTTACCTATAGGTCCGGTCCACAAGGCAGTGGAGCAACGTTAGGAGACACAATCCCATGGCCATGGTAGCCGATGACCAATAATAAGTTCACGACCATTTGTTTTCTCAGGGTCCAGGAGTTCATATGCACCACCGTTTTGGAATCAAGATTTTCCAAATTCCCCAAGTGAATTCCCAGAACCCACTAGCCTGATTGAAGCGTGGAGCATTCGCCTTTCTACTTCGTAAACAACAACCTCACTGCGAGAAGGCAGTGAGTAGGACTTGGTATCGCGTGACTATATGAAAGCATTTCGAGAGAAAGTGGATTCTTCCCACCTTCAACTGTAACAAAGCACCTCGGTGCTGGCTACTTTAGGGGACTTGTTTTGTTTTCTACTATATTATAAGTTCCATTATGATAACACAATACTCTATACGATCACCAATGTCGAAATATACTACTCACCTTAGCTTCAAAACTTGAGGTCCGCTTATCTTACACCTTTTCTTACCTGAGCAGTATTTTTTCAGAATATTGATATACTTCGATCCCTTGGATAAATAAAATCAAACTCATACGATGTTATTTCACTAGACAGCAAGTGGATAATAAAGGTGGTTGTATCATTCATACTTCATTTTCAGCTATTATGTTTATCTTAAAGTTTATTAGTTTGCCGCAGAGCTCATTATTAATTTTCTGTTTTCAGTGCTTCTGATCCTTCTGTCCACCATGACTTTTTGCGCCATTGTGGTGGCCCTGTAAGCCTATACTACGATAATGAGTCTTCCTGTTTGGTCGTGTTAACGACAGACCCTGTAACAGCAAAGAATGTTGCCTTGTTGGAAGATACTCATTTAAGAATGTTGCGCCAAAAATGGGCCCTAACTCGAAGTCTTCGGCAAACTATTCGGAATCTTGAGGTAAGTGTTCATTCATCTCACATCGTAAGATGTAGTTCATTGTATCTGTTGACGATCTACTAAATCTCTTCTCAGAACTTCTTAACCCCGGTGATTTTATTATACCAACAAAAGCTTAATAATGGTGCGAAATTCTCCATACCGTACTTCAGAAGTACATAAACCTTGTGAAGACTCTTTACTCGAGCACTACTAATCGAGACAGAGCTTATGGCGAACTGTCACCTGATTATACAACCTCAGGTAGTGTCCGTCAAGGCTGTCCACTTTCTCCATTTTTGTTTAACTTCATCAAAGACATACTGATAGAAATAATGCTCTCATCGACTAAATTGATCTACCAGGAGGTCAACTTATCGACTTAGAATACGCAGATGACAGTCATGTTTGGTGAAGACGCTGATAAAATACAGTCTTTAGATAGCACTGAGCAACAATACCAGGATTTCTGGGATGCGCTTCTCCCCCTCCAAACGCAATTTGTTGCTTCAGGACTGGTCTGCGTCAACACCTGAACTAAGGATAGGGAGTAAAGTAGTCGAACGCGTTGGCAACTTCACTTATCTTGGAAGTCTGATCATCCCTAATGGGTTGGTGTCTGACGAAATTTCAGCACGGATTCGAAAAGCTCGTTTGGCTTTTACCAACTTACGTCACTTATGGCGATGCGAGATATCCGTCTATCAATTAAGGGACGAGTATACTGCACGGCAGCTCGTTCTGTTTTACTTTACGGCTGCGAAACGTGTTCATTAAAAGTAGAAGATACTCGTAAGTTACTAGTATTTGATCACAGATATTTTAGAAATATTGCTCGTGTCTGGTTTGATAACTGGGTAAGTAATAGTGAGGTTAGACGCAGGGTATTAGGGAATGATGGTAAATCAGTTGATGAGGTTTTAAATCTTCATCGACTAAGGTGGTTGGGCCACGTGTTACGTATGCCTGAACACAAGTGGACTGAGCCATGTTAATAGGTGTAGACTACCTGTTTGGAGACCGCGAGATGATAGCAACCGATAGTTAGAGACCCTGAAAATCGTTTGCAATGGCTCAGGTGCATCCACTCTTTGTGTCCTCCCAAATTTTAATCTTCTGAATTCTTCATATCCCTTTTTCATCTTTCCAAATTTATTTCACTGGATTATACTCCTACTACATCTACCACTACGGGATTTGAATCGACAACTGCATCTCTGTGCTAATGTGGTATGACAACTCGAACTGATGTACGTACGTACGTACGTACTTCGGTGGCTTGGACATGTTCTACGAATGTCGTCCCAGAGAATTCCTCGTCGTGCATTATTTGCCGACTCTGGGACTGGTTGGAAAAAGCGGAGAGGTGGTCAGTATATGACATGGTGTCGTGGTATGAAAGAAAGCTGCAAAGGGCTAGCTTCTGTTGGTCCTTCACGACTCCCTGGTTGGGGTCCGAGAGATGGTGTAACGCAGTGGCTAGAGACGTTATCAGATATGGCTCAGAATAGAAGCCAGTGGCGATCCTGCTGTAACCTTCTTTTACTTTCTTCATAAAAAGGTGGTCGTATTCTTCCTTAACTGAAAGATCTGTTCTGATTGTACCTTTCCGTTTCCCCCACCATTGTTCTCTCTCTCTCTCTCTTCTTTTTTTTTATAATTCCCCACGTTCATTACTTTTTTTTTTCTTCTCTTTTCTCCTTCTCTTCTAATTATCACTGTTTTGTGTGGCGCATATATATTTGGTGCCCCCCTGTACCAATATTTATGTGTTCAAATAAATAAATAAATAAACGTACGTACGAAGTTCTACGTTGTTACTGGCTGACGACACGCAATGCTGACCAGTGTTGGAAATGGTTGGAAGGTTAAGGGCGGCCAAACCAAAACGTGGCATCAGTGCTGGAAGTCACTAACTTCGGGTCTGAGCCATGTTGTTAGATGCAGATTACATGGTTGGGGTCTGCGTGACTGTCGTAACCAATGGCTGAAGAATTATTTATTTATTTATTTGAACACAAATATTGGTACAAGAGGGCACCAAATATATATGCGCCACACAAAACAATGAGAATTTAAGAAGTGAAAAAAAGTAAGGAATGAAGGGGCTTATAAATTAAAAAAAAAGAACAATAATGGGGGAGACGAAAAGGTACAATCAGAAGAAATCTTACATTTAAGGAGGATACAGCCACTTTTTATGAAGAAAGTAAAAGAAGGTTACAGCAGGATCGCCATTGGCTTCTATTCTGAGCCATATCTGATAACGTCTCTGAAGACTGGGTGACATGGTTCAGAATAAGTCACAATGGCGTTGGTGTATACACTCTGTCTTCCCTTAAACTATGAGATTAAAATGGATTCATATCTTTTTTTCTACGAACTAGTTCTTTCTTCCTGTACGATGTCTTTATACACAATCTTTCTTTTATACATTACCATTTAAGTGACTACTTTATGAATTTGTTCATCTTATCGTGCTAATGAAGTGTGGCCACTTGGACCGATGCATGTATGTGCCTGGTCCTACATTGTTGTTGACTGACTGACCGTACGTAATAGGGACAATCTGGTTTGTAGAAATCTTATAAGTCAAAGTACTTTGTACGATGTCAACACCTGATAAAGTGGTTTCCAATAATAAAAAAGTATCACTCTCATCGCTGTTAGTTTGTTGGTTTCATTCATCTTAATTTTCTAGATTCGCTTTTATAGTTTAAGTTGTTGTTGTGCGTGTAGTTTTGGGTGCACAAGCTATCTCCATCATCACGTAATCAGATTGCCGGCTTACAGCTAATACTACACTCGGTGTACGCGCGAGACAATGGTTTTAGCTAAATATTCGTGCACTTCCTCTTTAGTTGATTGATCTCCTACTTCCATTGAATTGAATAAAAATCTATGCACTGTTGCAATATGCCTTAGAAGTCATGAAAGTTTACAGTCTCGAAGTAATTTTATTTTTGGTATGAAATTGTTAGTCGATTGTTCGGGTTACTTTGATTTGTGCTGTCAAATAATCCCACTTTCTGTAACAAATAAGTGTGGAAATCGTTCAGATTGACATTGCTAATATGTGTCCACTTAGTAAATTACCGATTAATTGATGGTAAATACTACTCATTCAAACTATACAAATCTGATTATTAATCTGACTGACTGTACAAAAATTGTGTAATAAGGTATATATATGTAATGAGGTGTATTCATATACCACTCTTATTTATTGTCGTAGTCAAATCCTTATAACTAGTCCATAGTTTTCACCAAGCATCGTCAAAGTTGGGGTCTCAGTATCAAGCATCAGGAGGTTAAGCATTTTACAGTCATCATGTAGTGAACAAGAACACCGATGGGGACAATCGTATGTATTTGACAGCAAATTACAGCACTTGTTAATGATATCTAACAACCATATAGTGAATCGTTAATTTGCAAAGTAACAATCCATCATATCAAACTGGACTGTTCCTGTTGCAAACATCAATCGATTGTCTGATATTTCATTGTTCATGAGTTTCTATACAAGTTCCCGTTGTGTTCCCGCCCTTCCTTTCTTGATCTTCCTTCATCTTCTGCTGCCAGACATTACGTTTAAAACTCGCGTCATATACTACTTATGTTTACATAAGTAGCACACACCACAATCATAGTAAAACATAACAATTTTATTTATCAGTATTATGCGGACTTCCTTTATCGACTACATTACTTACGACTGTTATCCCCCGTGTTGGAGCATAGGCTGTCCACCAGCACTCTCCATCCAACTCCGTCATGGCCTATTCTTTCCAATGGTTGTCAAGTGCCATTCATTCCTTTCATGTTTGCCTGCAATTACCAGCTCAGTGTGTTCTTTGGTCTTCCTCTTTTCATTTTCCTTTCAGGATCCCAAGTTAGCTCTTGCCTCTTGATACAGTTTAGTGATTTCCGTAATGTATGTCCCAGCGTCTTTTCATAATTCTCTCATCAACTGGAACCTCGTTTGTTCTCTCTCACATTAGGTTGTTGCTGATGGTATTCGGCCAACGGACATTGAGTATCTTTCGTAGACAATTGTTGATAAATACTTGTACTTTTTTGATGATGGTTGTAGTAGTTCTCCGAATTTAAGCTCAGTATAGTAGAACTGTCTTGACGTTCGTATTGGAGATTCTAACTTTGATATCGGTTGACAGTTGTTTTGATTTGCATAAGTATTCAAACTGTAAGAGTGCTGTGCTTGCTTTGCCAATCCTCGCCTTTACGTCTGCATCCGGTCCTCCGTGTTCATAGATGATGCTTCCCAAGTACTTGAAAGATTCCTCCTCTTCCAGAATTTTTCCATGAAGTGTAATTGGGTTGTTCTCCATGTTGTATTTGAAGATCTTTGTTTTCCCTTTGTGTATGTTGAGATCTACTGCTACAGAAGCTTCCGCTACACTGGTTGTCTTCACCTGTTGATGGTTTTCTCAGGTACACCTTAGTGTCGAAGAAGGCTCCATAAGGTTCCCCTATCCATTCTGTCAAACGCTTTCTCATAGTCAAGGGAGTTGATGTGTAGTGACGAGTTGCATTCAATTAATTGTTCAACGATGGTCCGTAACGTCGCGATTTGGTCTGTGCACTACCGATCCTTACGGAATCCAGCCTGTTGATTTCAAAATTGGGCCTCTACTCAATCCTTCATTCGGTCCAACAACACTGTTGGAAAGTTTTCCTCGTGCCGATAGTAGGATGATTCCTCACACTTGCTGAGATCTTTCTTCGACATCTTGATAAGGTGTCCTCTACAGTCTATTGGAGCTTGTTGTTTCTCCAAATTTTTTCTGTGTAACGTCTTCGTAGTTGCCTCTATATGTGACTTCAGTGCTTCAGCTGTTATGTTGTCTGTTCGTTCTGCTTTTCCACCCTTGGTTTGTCCTATCGTCACGCTGATTTCTTCGATCGTTAGTGAAATGACGGCTATAGGAAGGTCTATGTGTGCTTCATCGATGTCCAGTGGGTTTAGTAGCGCTGTTGTATTCATAAACTCTTCAAAGTAGACTACCCACCTGTTCTGTTGTTCGTAAATCACAGTGGTTGGTTTGCCTTTGTCCTTGACTGATCTCTCTTGTTTACCATATTTCTCTGCTAGTTTCTCCATTGTCATGCAGTTGTTTCATACTCCCTTGTCTTGCAGATTTTTTCTCTATCTCTTCTAGGTCTTCCACATATTTCTACTTGTCAGCTCTAATGCTCCTTTTCATTTGTTTGTTTGCCTCTGTGTATTCAGTTTTTGCCTTGACTTTCTCTGCTTTTGTTCGGCTGTCGTTGATTGATGTCCCCTTGTCCTTCCTTTCTTGAATCCTCCTTAAGCTTTCGATGAAGATCCATCCTTTACGATGATGCTTCTTGAAGTCGAGAACCTCCTAATACGTTGAAGTTAGTGCTTCTTTGATCCCTTTCCAGTTGTCCTCTATTATAGTTTCTTCTTTGAGTAAATCTTGTAAGACTTGAAACCTGTTGTTCAGAGCTGTTTTGAGTTCGTTGAGTTTGTCAGTATCTCAAAGGAGGACGGTATTGAACCTTTGTAATGCTGTTTGTCCAATTGTCTAGTGCTTCTTTAGCCTCAGTTTCATCTTGGTAACCACGAAGTGGTGATCTGAAGTTATGTCAGCCCCTCCTGATTTTCACGTCTTCCATCAACCTTCTGGAGTTTTCGTGATGGAAATGTGATCGACCTGGTTCTGTGTATTGTGATTCGGTGAGTCCCATGTAGCTTTGTGTATGCATTCGTGGGGGAATATTGTGCCGCCTATAACCATTTTGTTGAATACACATATCTGCAAATTTGCCACCATTCTCGTTCGTTTCTCCAAGTCCATTTCGTCCCATGGTATCTTCATACCCGGTGTTATCTATTTCGGCTTTGGTGCTTAGGTCTTCCATCTGGATGGTCAGGCCCTTCCCAGTGCAGTTCACTGTGATCGCTTGCAGCCTCTCGTAAATCCTATCTTTATCGTCGTCGTTGATGCATAACATTGGATAACATTCGTTGTGATTTCCTCGTTCTTTGTTTTGAATGATGATTTGATGATCCTGGGTTCGTGACATTCCCACCCTATAGGTGCTTTACGTGTTTCTTTGGACAGCTCCCTAAGTGTGCCTAGCATTTTCCTCTTCGTGACAGCAGCATCTCTCCCGTATCTAGCCTTTGCTGTCCAACTTGTTTCCAATAAGTTTCGCTTATTCCGAGAACTGCCAATTTCCATTGCTATTTGACTGGTCCTTCAGTTCTCTCGCATTTTCTGGACGTTCCATGTACCTATAAAAATTGTTGATCTGGTCATTAGAAGGGGCATCGACCTCGTGACTTCCGAACAATCTCGGCTTTCATCATGAGGCGTCATAATGCTTCTTTCAACTCCCATAGCAGAGTTTAAGTACTTTAATTTGTTTAACCTGGTTGGTGTTTTTTAACAAAATTTTTCTCCACAGGATCTGGTTGCTGACCCCACACTCAACCCTCTTTCTTTACCAGGGCTTGGGATCAATAGTAACTCTAGAAGAGCTGCTGGCGGAGTATTATCGACTACATGTATTGCAGGAAATCAAAAGCTTTCACAGACTTTATGTTATGACCATAAAAATGTTAATCATTTTGTGTGAGATCTGTTGTGTGGTGAATAGCGCAGTTGCGTTTTACATAAGTTTATTAAGTCAATGGAATTGTTCACAAAGGATATTGCACTGTTACAAAAATAAATGTACCTTATTTTTGTAATCTTACCGTAAACATTTTTCAGGTCAATCGAGGACCAGATGTATCACGACCAGGTGGGTCAAAAAACTGCAGTGACTGGAACAGTGATCCTAGTCTATTTGTTGAAAAGTTTTTTGTTCCTCAGCATCTCATGGGTTTAGCTATAGGTGCTCGTGGTGTAAATATTCGTGCTGCAAGAGAAATTCCTGATGTAATCCGTATCGAGTCATGGGAACCGTCAGAATATAATGCAAGAAATAATGACCCTGTTGATAATTCTGGAGATTATGGTGAAGCTGCGATGTTTGTTATAGAAGCCAAGGTATAACTTTTTCCAAAGTGATGATCTAGTGTTTGTGTAAATAAGGAATGAGATTTCGTATGACTAGTGTTATGTATTTTACTTGGTGTCCCACCCGTCTGTATGAGGCAGTCGGACTCACATTACTATGTCTACTATCATTTTCATGCACGCATCCGTATTTTCCTTTTGTCCACATAGTGGCCTTGCGTACTTAATTTAAACGAACTCATCGCTCTTCTTATTTTTTATATCGAATGACAATATCAAATCCTACGAGAAATTATTGAAAGCATAAGACAACCCTCGGAGTCACTTCAAGTTGACTTATGAGTTGATATTTTAGTGATTTGATGGAGAAATTTCCAGCTGTTAAAATGAAAAGATTCTGATCAGTGGATAATATCCAGTGATACGATGTGGCCGAATGATGGCTACTCAAGACCGAATTATTAATGTAAATCTCTGTATAACTTGAGATAAAAGACAAGACCTAGTCTGATAAGCCCTGATGTTTGACGAAATCTGAACACGAATTCAAAAAATCATGTTGGCTAGTGTTAACTCACGTCTCTTGAGGTGTAGTTAAAATATCCATCTACCAACTGATGGAAGAGTTGACCGCGCAGTAGTTCTGTACATCCTATTTTAAGTCTGTGAAGGATGGCCATTAAAAGTAGAGGATATTCAAAGGTTACTAGTATTCGGTCATAGGTGTTTTCGTGTGCTTTAGGACAATTGAGTTGGGAATTCTGATGTCAGACGCAGAGTACTAGGTAACGATGGTAAATCAACTGGCGATGTGATGAACATTTGTCGACCGAGACAATTCGGACACGTATTGCATATGCCCATTCACTGACTTCCACGACGTGCGATGATGTCTGGTGTAGGAATAGGTTGGAAGAAAGCTAGGGCGACCAAACCATTACATGACATCAATCTATGAAGACACCAACTGTAGAACTGAGCAATGTGGGTGGGTGCACTATCTGGTTGAGGTACATGCAATTATTGTAACCAATTGTGAGAGAATGGGTAACATGACTCAAAATCGTTTGTCATGGCTCAAGTGCGTCCACTCTTTGTCGCCCCTTAGATTATAAATTTCCAATTTCTTTAAAAACTTATTTCATTAAATGATATTTTCGTCTCGAATTGTATCTTCGATGCCTAACATTTTCTATTTCGACTAATACTGTTGATACATGTACTACTATGGGATTCTCCCAGTCAATTTTATCTCGTTGCCTAAACCAGTATGACTGACTGAGAGGAATAGGTTCTTACAACAAAGTAACGTGCTTAAATGCAAATTATCAACAAGAGAACGATATCAAATGTCGTAAACAATATTGTGCGTCGTTTACCCTCCGTTGAATAAAGTCATGACTATTCAGTCTGACTATAGCCCATCTTATCATCAACAATATGCCTCAACTCAACAATCTTTTCCAATTTTAAGTATTTAATTAAAAATTATGATACTCGCTTTACTTGATTTCATATATCTGACTAAAGTAGAGAATTCACACCACCGAATTCCCGTCTTATGATATTTCACTTATGAATACTGCAAAAAATGTGTAAAACCTCACAGAGTAAGCAATCCTTTGGTTAGGAATAAGGTACTAATTAAGGATGACAGCTCGATTGTTGAGGTAGTAAATCTTCATCAACTGATGTGGTTGGAGCATATGTTGCGTTTACCAAACCACCTACTACGTCGACGGGAAATGCTGCCTAGTATATGAATGGACTGGAAGTTAAGAGCGCCAAACCAAAACGTGGCACCAGTCCATGAAGTTATCGGCAACTGGATTAAGCCATGTAGGTAGGTGCAGACTACCCGGTTGGGGTCTGTGTAGTTATCGTAACCAATGGTATAAGACTTTGAATGACAACAGCACAGGTGCATCCGTCCTTTGCCTTTCCCCAAATTATAATCTGAAGTCTTCTTGATTTTTTTCCACCAATTTATACTTATCAAATATTCGATGTCTAATCATATCAATCACCACAGATTCTGTTATTACCTCTACCATTCTGGGGCGTATTGTTACTGAAATAACCGAAAACAGTGTCATTTTGGGTGACAATATCAACTCATTTCACGATTTACTTGAATTCGATTACATGCCGGCTGCTTTTTATTTATTTAAACATAAACATTGGTACAAAGGGGCACCGAATATTCCTACACCACACTTCATTTGATTTGTGTTTTGGCTTGAATACTGCCTAGGTTACGAGACCGGAGCAGGTAATTCTTTTAGGGACCACTCCTCGAGCCTTTTACCTATAGGTCCGGTCCACAAGGCAGTGGAGCAACGTTAGGAGACACAATCCCATGGCCATGGTAGCCGATGACCAATAATAAGTTCACGACCATTTGTTTTCTCAGGGTCCAGGAGTTCATATGCACCACCGTTTTGGAATCAAGATTTTCCAAATTCCCCAAGTGAATTCCCAGAACCCACTAGCCTGATTGAAGCGTGGAGCATTCGCCTTTCTACTTCGTAAACAACAACCTCACTGCGAGAAGGCAGTGAGTAGGACTTGGTATCGCGTGACTATATGAAAGCATTTCGAGAGAAAGTGGATTCTTCCCACCTTCAACTGTAACAAAGCACCTCGGTGCTGGCTACTTTAGGGGACTTGTTTTGTTTTCTACTATATTATAAGTTCCATTATGATAACACAATACTCTATACGATCACCAATGTCGAAATATACTACTCACCTTAGCTTCAAAACTTGAGGTCCGCTTATCTTACACCTTTTCTTACCTGAGCAGTAACTTTTCAAATCGTTTATATATCCACACCGCGAAGAGGCAGTCAGTAGGTCTTCCCTGCTAGTGGTCGCATACGCGTGACTATGTGACAGCATTTTGAGAGTGTGGACTCTTTCCACCTTCGACTATTCCAAGGCTTCTGGAGTTTCATACATATGGCCTGTTGGTTAAGAAACGATTATCTTAACCACTGAGCTACTATACTATACGTTCCACGAAGTTCGAGTCCTGCCCGGTTAATTCATATAAGGAGGAGGTAATTTAAATGGCATCCAAACCTATTGAGTGATCAATATTTTTAAACCTAATTATGCAACTTTATCTAGTCCACGTAATTACTATAGAGGTATTGCGAAATTATATGTATAAATCTATCAGAAAATTAGAACATAATATCTGGCTGATTGTACTATAATAAATTGAATAGAGGAGCTAAATTGTCTGCTAAAAATTTCACCGACAGGGACATCAACTAATAATTTTGAAAACCAATATTCGTTCCTGGAATTCCTACACCATTACGTGTAATGTAGGTAGTTCAATGTATATTTCAGATATCTGATGAACTCTACAGTCACGAAAATATTTGTTTTGGAATAGTAGTCAACCACTACTCATCTATAAAAAAAACAACAGATGTTTAGCTGTATATCATTTCATGTTTCTGCTAACTCATTAAATATGCAACTATCTGGTGCAGTGTGTAGTATTAGGTTGTGTACCATTGAACAGGAAGCAATGGTTACTTCACTATCTATCCTCGAGGTTCAAACAAATGTACTTATGTAATACATTCAAAAACAGATTGAATGTACTTTACAAGTATTTATTAGAAATGGCTATCTTCAGGTTTTTTTCGTCTCAGTATTTATTTTTGATAAATTTCCTTTGTCAGATAATTGGTTAGGAAATGTGTACTTTTCTCATGTAAATATTAACTCCTAGTTTGTTTGTTTTTTTCCACTGATGATACAGCTTTTAGACAATGTAAAAGTTGTGTTTTGTATGTCTGAAAGATTTTGTTTTGTTTTGGTTGGTAAAATTAATAATTATTTGATTGGTTTATTTATATTGCTGAAAATGAACTCAAATTAAAATATTATTATTTCAAATTGTAGACTCTGGAAGCTGCAAAACAAGCTCGAGCTAAACTAGAATACTCCGAGTTATATTTAGGTGTTCCACGTCGTTATGTAGGACGTTTGATCGGGAAAAGAACGTCAAATATTATGTCTATCATTCGTAAATCTGGTGTTGTTCACATTCATTTCGATGATCATATTGAAGGCTCCGTATCACTCAGTGATGATAATAACCAAACTGATGTTATTAAGTATACCTATCCAGGGCGTCCTTTAGCAAGTACAATGCGACGAGTCTTTTTAAAGGTAATGATCATACATATCTATTTGTCCATCTAATATTCTGTGTACATACTAATACAATTACAGTACGTTTATAGATCTAAGCCAATTAATTTGACAAAAATGAATATTCTAATCTCTTTTTACAGTTTTTTTATATATGGGTGGTCAAATATATCTTTAGCTTCTCTAATAAACTGTCTGATCAAATTTTAAGAGAATTAATACAAATGCCCTGGTACGGCCGAGAGTGGGGGGAGTCCGCTCCCCTTCTCGAAATGCTCTCATATGGCCACGCGTATACAGCCCCTTCCAGGGAAGTCCTACTCACTGCCTTCTCGTGGCGGGGGTGTTGTTTACAAAAATGAGAGGACGAAAAGCGAATGTCCAGCACCGGCTTTAACCGGATCCCAAACCAATGGTGCACATGGGCTCCAGTATCCTGCGGGAACAAATGGCGTATGAACCAATCGTTGGTCACCGGCTACCATGGGACTGCATCTCCTTACGATGCTCCACTGCCTTGTGGATTAGATCTTCAGGCCGAAGGCTCGGGGTGTGGCCCCCTAAGAAAACCACCTGCTTCGGTTTGGGCACCCGGGCAGTATCGCAGCCCTCACACAAATCAAATGAGATCTGTGTGGCGCATATGTATTTGGTGCCTTCTTGTACCGATATTTATGTGTTAAAATAAAATAAATAAAATAACTACAATATAGAAGTGATATCATATCTATAAATATTTTAGAAAATTGTTAGATAAAGAAAATACCCTTTAAAACAACAATTGATAATTGTACTCTTAATATTATCATTTAGTGCCTGAAACAATAATCATATTATTTATACTTAAATCATTTGTCAATTTTGTATCCAATTTTTTTTTTAGGGTTTCTATGGGTTACTTTTTCATATGTATATTCATTATTTTTTTATGAATATTTTTTGTCAATAGTTGAAACTCATAGTTTGACAAAAATTAGGTTCTAATTTATAAAGAATCTAGTGTTTCCAGGTTTTCCATGATGGTGGTCTAGCTTCAATGGATTCATGATTTAAACCAGTGAAATTTCTAAAATCTCCACACAATCCCTTCTGATAATAATAATAATCATCTGGTCACTAGTGACTGACTTCAAGAGATACTTCTGAAGTTCTAGTGAGAAGCCGTTACCAGTGGAGTTCAACCAGGTCTGTTGTGAGATATCAGCTCACTGAAGACAATGGTGTACGGTGGCGCAACGTCGTGGATTGGTTGAAGTTAGACATTCACACCGTTGAATGCCAACTCAATGGTCTAGTTGGTTAAGCGCCTGGCGCGAGACTGATAGGTCCTGGGTTCGAATCTCGCAAGAAGCGTGGTCGTGGATGCGCATTGCTGAAGAGTCTCATACAAGGACGAAACGGCCGTCCAGTGTTTCCAGGTTTTCCATGATGGTGGTCTAGCTTCAATGGATTCATGATTTCAACCAGTGATATAATATAATCATCGTTATTTAAGAAAACCATTCTATTTACTTTGATTTAAGGAACTGGATAGTATATTTGTTTTCATCAAAACACGAAACTCATGACAAAGTGCATGAACATTTACTTGGTTACTGAATTGAATTCATTAAATAATTGATTTTAAATACTTGTTTCATTATCCATAAATGAAAATTGTCACTTATATTAATAGATTTAATTGAACCATTACTTTCGTTCATTCCTTTCTACAAGGACATATGATTAGGAAGCATTTTGTTTCTTCTAATCACTTGTAAATGAGTAAATATTGACTATTTTTATTTCGAATAATTTACTGCATATTTTCCGTAATTATTTAGATCAACAATCTAGTTTTTAACGTGAATATAGAGTAGTGAAATAGATATTCATTCAACACAAACAACTCAAATATTTCCTAGCTACTAGTATTAGATATTTTCAGTTGAATTTTGTTCCCTGTCCATTTATAGATACTAAACTTCTAGAATACTTAAGTTGATCAGGTATAGTTAGAAGTTGGTTGATTACTTTGGGTATTATTACATACCGGACATGTGTTGGTAATCGTGCTCGCTAATTACCAGTGTTGACAGTAGATGGATACAGATATACAGACTGGAAAGTAAATAAAACTAAAATAATAAGAATTTGATTAACGTCCTCTATTCTCATTATTACTGACTCATTGTTAAATAAGGTTTTATTAATATTACTTTAAGTTGGTAATGATCCTCTTATGTCAATACATTAAAATTTATTTTCGTTAGTTTAAAGTATTCAAGTGTATATATTTTTTTCTGAGGTCAAAATTATCAATCTGTTCTTAGGCAATTTGAATCTTCAATAATTGAAATCATGAATTAATTGAAGCTAAACCACCATGGAAAATCTGCAAGCACTGGACGGCCGTATGGGATTGGTTGAAGTTAGACATTAACACCATTGGATGCTGGCCAGCTCAATGGTCTAGTGGTTAAGCGGTCGCGCGCAAGACTGATAGGTCCGTGGTTGGAATCTCGCGAGACAGGGTCGTGAATGCGCGTTGCTGAAGAGTCCCACAATAGGACGAAACGCCCATCCAGTGCTTCCAGGTTTTCCATGGTGGTCTAGCTTCAATTGACTCCTGATTTCAACTATTGAAATTACTAATCTTCACAAAACTCCTGATAATTTTGATCTTGTCAAATTTTATAGGCTGGAAGTGCTCAGACATCCTCACAACCATATACAGATGAGGAATACGGTGGATTCATACTAGCTGGTACAAGGGACTCGATCGAAAAAGCTCGTTTGTTGATCAACTTCCAAATGGATTATTTCTATGATCTTGAAAAGATGGAGGTTTGTTATAAATGGCGAAATTCTGTGCAGTATTTGTGGCAGTGTACATTCCAAAAGTTTGTTTTTCGTCGTGTAAATTTGTTATAATGGGCGATGTCCAAGATCTAATATTGATGCACATCGTGTTACGCGCTAACCCTTTCCCACAAACTGACTAGTTGAGCGAAGAAATATTAGTAGAAGTGAAAATCTATTGAGCTACCGATATATATATATATATATATATATATATATATATATATATATATATATATATATATATATATATATATATATATATGATTAACTCATTATATCAGAATTTGTCAGTCTTCAGTATAAACTAAAACAAGGTACTAAGTAGAAAATCAACATGAAAGTTCATCCACTCAAGCCGTTTCGTTTAGCAAAGAATCAACGAGCCTTTGAAGGGAAGCCAGATGATATCGACTAGTGCTAGGGGGATGAAAGACGTCAGTTGTCGTTTCATGGACGTCTACGGCACTCAAGAACACTTTTATGAGACCTGGAAAGAGACTATCTGGGTTATCTGTGACTGTCCAACGGATTATGTTTTGTCACACACAGTCTACTTGTGACTATTTTCAGATGTTTCAAGTCCGTGCTTTGCAAACCTTTCTTGTAGCTACAAAAATCCGTGAAGCTAGTCAAGTTATGCTACTTTCGGACCAACTTTTTGTAACTCTACGTTACGAAAAAACTACAAACTCTGGCTGTCTGAGGGAATCGCAAAATCGCCACTACACTTCTTTACAGTTGCCAGTACTTCTGCCCTGGACCCTGAATTGCAACTACTGTCCACCCAATCTATTTGACATGGTAGGGCATCGAAAAACAAGTGTTTCATCGAATATGGATCGATTTTAGTAATCACGATATCCAAAAGAGACCTCCACCTCAAGGTATTAGCTACATTTGAGAGGGATATGGGTAGTAAACTGAGAATAACGAAGGGTTCAAAGTTTAGCATGTTTTTAAAGGACGAGCTTGAGTCGTTCTAAATTGCTTCATAACACCACCCAAAGTTTCCAACTACTAGTTATGAGCATCTCACTGACCCATCTCTAGTATCCCTAATTTTCTCAAATCACTTATCACATCCGTTTAACTACAAGAAACTAATAAACACCTACGCATACGAAAAGTTGACGTTCTATAACAAATGGTAGATTTGTGTTGTAGGCATGATTGTTGGTTGTTTTGATCAAACATTCGGATTTAATTCTATCTTCTGCAGCGTGGAAATGCACTTCATATAGTGTACATGTCGTTTAAAGAGCTGTACTACTAAAAGCAGCAAATTTAGGGTTCAAGTGCGAACTAGTTCTGCTAACTGTATTGAAATGTTACGATGTTTGGATTTCTCTCATAATTGATTAACATTCCCAGTTATGTTATGAGCATCGACCTCGTGACTACGGAATAATTTTGACTTTCAATATGAAATGTCATAACTCTTCTAAATAAGGATCGTTCACTTCCTAAGGCAGAGTTTAAATTATTTTTTCTGATTGAGTTTTTTTCTACCCCACACACAACCATCCTTTGTCCGGGAGTGGGACCATGGTTGGAATTAGTGAAAAATTGTTCAGTAAAGAATTTGTTCAAATTGCTTTTCTTTCTCTAAACGTTAAGCACTAAAATTCTATTTTATACACTTTACTTTTCTTATTAAGCCATTTAAATATTGTTTTCTTTTCATCGGGATTATTATGAGTTAATACACTTTTCATTTTACAATTATATCATTACAGTCTATGGCTTTTAGTTAGCAGATTATTTTCTTTTTATTGCATCATTAATAAGAGCGAAAAGCTGGAGTTAATGCGTAGTTTATCTCATGGTGGAGTGGACTCTGGTCCAGGCTACCCACCTCGTGGTACGGCAGTCGGACGTTGGGGTGAACGTGGTGGTGTTGGGAATTATGGCCGTGGTGGTCGCGGACGCAGACCAGGTCGTGGTGGTCTGTTACATCCTCCTGTTAGTGATATCAATCATGGACATTATACAGATGATGAAAATATTGGAAATCCAATCCCCTATCGAGGCGCAAAACGTACGGTATGCAGTTAATTATCTGTTCAGTGGTATTCTCGAGCTATTTTATTTGTGACACAATAGGCAATTAATCGCATAATAAATAGTCATTTAGAATTCGACTGAACTGAACGAGTAACAATTAAATGAACACAATGTCTGAATGTCTCAATTACCAATCGCGTTAAAGGTTAGAAAGATAACAAAATTCCATTAGTCACATTTAGATTATTCATAAATTTGCGTTCATTTACTGATCGATTGTGTCAGAATGAACTGATAACTGACCTTTCGCCAGTTGATCACAGTTTCGCTCGTCTGACTACACCAACATTCAAGTCCATCCTTAAATCCAGCAAGCTACTTGATTAAGGACACGTTACTATTCATTATCGAGGGTTACAAAATCTGAATTCATGTAAAGAACTATTATTCAAGGTGTGAAAATTATGTTGTTTGGTTTTTTATTTGATCTACATTGTCTAGTGTTCATAAATGGAGTCAAATATTGGTATAATCTAACCTTTAGTTTACTCCCAGCTATGTCTTACTGTGTTTGTTGTGATATTTGTGTATAATCCTAAGACATCTTCCAGACAATCGTTGTATATTGTACGCATTCAAATCGCTATGTTAAAAACTACGAGCAATTTGAATTTTTTTTATCACATAATGGTAGAGTCTTTACGGTAGCTGTATGGTTTACCTCTGATAAACTTGTGTGTTCTATCCTAGTAGTGGTGTTATCGATAGGAAATATAAAGTCCATTTTAAAGAGAGCAAGAACAAAGGTTGGTGCAGAATAATATGAATTCATTTTATTCCGTTAGGTTCTCATCAGCTGCTTACAACCTAAAATATTTGAAATTCAACGTTATTACAGAAATTAACATACTTAGACATAAGAGGGTGATGGAGGATGAATATAAGTAACATGATGTAGCAAAGATGCTGTTAGAGATAATGAGGTTATAAAAATTTTTGTTTCGAATATATATAGTTTGGGAGGGAAGGTTCCATAACATAGAAATAGTGATTAGAACTCATGGAATTAAAACACATTAGATGATTATGTAATGAAATAACTGAAAATAGATTAATGGTAATAAAGAGAGATATGAATTGAAATTGATCAGTTATGAATGATGCATCTTTTCTACATCATGTTACTTATATTCATCCTCCATCACCCTCTTATGTCTAAGTATGTCAATATCTGTAATAACGTTGAATTTCAAATATTTTAGGTTGTAAGCAGCTGATAAGAACCTAACGAAATAAAAAATGAATTCATATTATTCTGCACCAACCTTTGTTCTTGCTCTCTTTAAAATAATAAAGGGAACTATGTGTATAAAGTTCATTGTCGTGCTGTAGAGTATGTTTACAGTATCACTAAAAAGGATGCAGAATTCAAGCTTTAAATTAATGAGGTTTCTTTATTCTGTTAAGAAAATTTGCTAACAAACAGTTAACGGTTTTAAATCTTTCTTGTAATGAGATCCATGTTTAAAATCACTTTTCAACCCGTAGATCATGTTTGATATATCTCATAGACATGCGCCAGTAGAACTCATGATTAATCTATGGTGAGTCTTTTGTTCAAATCATTATTCCCCTTCAGAAATAAATGTTTCATCAGGAAATCTTCTTCCTCAGAATTTTGTTTTTAAAAGCTGAACAATTATCTTTATATAAAATGATTAATGTTAATTGAATTACAGCCTCGTGAAACATACGGTCACCGTAGTTCTGGTGGAAGAATCCCACGTCAAAGTGGAAGAGGAAGTCGGCGATTAGGAGGTTCAGGTCGCGACTCTAATTGGAATAACCACATGAACAACAACGGGGATGTCACTGACCGTCGTCGAGGTTCGGGTGATTCGGATGTCTTAGAGTCTGACAACTTACCTGATGGTTTATCTGCAGAACGAGCAAACGCTGGAAGACATAACAGAGTAGAACGTCACTCTCCAGCTCCAAATGGATTTTATTCTGATAGAGAACGTGGGGACGAAAGTGAAGATACCCTCAATCCTACCAATGAAAACAATTTCCCATGTGGTGATGCGTCTTCTGAAGACGGTGGGGGTTGTTCAGTTGACAATATGCGCTCAAGACTGAATAAATATGTACATAGTCGGTAGGTGGCTTGTTAATTTTAAAATCCCGTTATATTACGTTTAATAATCAATATAAAAATGGTAGGGCTTTTCTTTATCTGCACACAGTTTACAATTACAAAGTATATGCCATAACTACCGACTGGACGGGATTTGCGTAGTATGTGTGTCATCGCATAGTAAGACAATATCACCTGCATACTTAGAATCGGAAAGCTTTTCTCCACGTAACAGTTCTACACCTCATAAGCACACTTCAACCACCAGGTTTCTCGGTTCTTACGCAATCCGCACAATATTTTTTACACAAGTTTTGCTGGAGTATCCCAAGCCGCTGTAGAGAACCATCACAGAAGCATTGCTTATAAGTGCAGGATATTTTGAGAAGTCACGTGAGACGTGACCTGCAATTTTCATATCGTCTTGCAAGCGCAGCCGGTGTTCATCCATACTTTTCGGTGAATTGAAAGCTTGATATATAGTTGCAACGAAATCTGCAGCCAACTTACTCACAACAATCTGTCTAGGACGATGAACATTTTGGCCACTGAAACGTAAGATGAGATTAGTGTAAACAAGGGTATGATCAAAGTTCAGGTAAGTACTCCAAAAAGAACAGTATAACCACGCCAGCGGTAGCTAGTCACGATATGCTTAATCTGAGTCGACAACTGGGTAACTGAGTTAAGTTGCCAGGTAGCACGTCAGCGATGACTGCAGGAAAACTTTGACGTTCAGAACTAGGTTGTGGTCTGCTCAAGTTTTCAAGAGACAGTCATCGTCATTTGTTCTGCAGTCAACGAGTCCCTACTGGTCACCCGAGCTTTTGACTAAAGGATCTAATCCACAGTAGAATGAAGTGACATCAGAGAATGCAGTGCCATGGCAGCCCGTAACTAATGTCTGTTCATGCACTTCATTTTCACATCCTAGAACCCATATGCATCACTGGTTTAGAATCAGGGTTTTCTAACTTCCATCCGTACCCGTTAACCCGCTTCGCTCGCTGGATGTTCGCCTTTCATCACCCCACTTCCGTAAAATGCACGCCCACTGTGAGAAGGGAGTGGATTAAAGTCCTCTGTCAGTGGTTGTAAATGCGTGGTCATATGAAAGCATTTCGAGAGGAAGAAAGAACTCCGTCTATCCTTAATTGTACTATGACATTTAGAGGTTCAGTTTCGTCGATCGACTCAACTCTCCACTCAACTGTGGCATTTACTTAGTTGTCTCACAATACGTCACTGGTACTTCGAAGATTTTGAGATTGAACACCAACAATCATAAGATAGAGGTACGGACATCTTATGTCCGCGAACAGTTAGGAAAAATTAAACGGGCTTTGTATCCGTGCCAAAATTTCTTGACAACCCAGCAGTGTTGTTAAGATTCACAAGATAAGAATTATTTAAAGTAGCTCGTTCTCCAGGTGTTTGGATATGAGCCACACTATTATTGTAGTGGCTAATAAAACCACTAAGCTGACGCTATCTCAAACCAGTATTCTTCAGGGCATCCCAGGTCAACTTATAAGGCCTTACTGCACTTCCACTCTTCAAGTTTATTATAGCTTTCTAGTAGTTAGATGTCGATTTTCTCATTCCGTCAGCCAAGTGTAGTGGTTTGGAATACACAGTTAATAGTTTTTTTGTCTTGTACAGTGGTACTTTGAATGTGACCGTTTTATTATGACTCATATGAGGTACGACCTCAAAGGTATCATCATTATTTGTTTTTTAGTCGTAACAGTAAATCACGTCCCCCACGTCGCTCACATCCAGCTCGTCCCCCAAATTCCGACCAGTGGGATACAAATTGTCAATTCAACAACGTCGATTCATCTCTTGGTAGTCAGAAATTGCGTAGTGGTGGTGGTGGTAATTATTCTGCCAGACAGCAGTCGGCGCAAGTAGTATATCAGGAATAGAGTTCCTTAAACACTTTTACTGGATGTTTTGTGTACCTCTTTAAGTTGAGTTAACGAAAAAACCTCATACATTACATTCTCATATCTTCATTTCTTGTTGTTGTTTGAATATTGTTTCTTTTGTTACTTTCCCGGAGTTATATATATATAGTCTTATATCAACAATGTTGTCTAGTTTTTCGCAAACATTACCAATATCCAATCTCATCTCCTTCATTTCTTACATACGCATACGTTACACATGTTTATACAACGTTATAATTTCTTAAACCTGTGATTAGCATGCATATCTTATGTGGTTCATTAGTTTGTTCGCAATCAAGTAGCAGTATTTCATTTAAACGGTTCCAGTCGTCTCATTCAGTACCAAGATTTTAAACAATAAAAAGACAACCACTTCAGGTGTACTCATAGAAAACTGTTTTATCTCCATTTCTGTCACTTTCTAAGAATAATCACCTTTGAACTCACTACTTATCCACCGGTAACTGCGTTTTCCCATCTAAGTGTATTAACTAGTTCTAATTTATTCTATACGTTATCTTCTGAATAAACAACTCTTCGTTAAAATTTATTTTCTCTTCATACATTTTTTCATAATTTCCTCTGTTAATGTGCCTTTTCAAGTCACTTGAACTTTTTAGAAGTATTTGTTATTTCTCATGCAAAAACTGATGAAAGCACAAAAGCTTTTGTCATTTTACAGTGGTTAGTTTGTAAATTTTACTCATGTCTATGTGTTGAGCATGCTTGTGTGTATGTGTGTGGAATTAGCACTCTTCAACTTGTCAGTCTTCCAAACTTATCACTCTTTCTTAAAAAGACATTGAGGTATGAGTGGCCTTTTAATGTAATATGCTACTCATTCATTTTATTGTATTGGGTTTATCCATCTTATTGCTAGCTTGTTCTTTCCTGTTCATGCGCCTCTTGCATATTCGTTAATCAAGTTGCATTTTTGTCTTTTTCATGTTTTTTCTTATGGGCGATATACTATCTGGTTGATGCATTCAGCAACTAACAGTCGTTTTAGCGAACGAACGTCTTCCAAACATCAGTGCTAATTTTTTGATTGAGATCTTGAACCGATTGATATTAGACCAGCATTGAAAACCTGGATGCACTGGACGGCCGTTTCGTCCCATAGTGGGACTCCTCAGCAGTGCGCATCCACGATCCCGCTCGCAGGATTTCAACTCAGGGCCTTCAGTCTCGCGCTCTGAGCCGGCATCCAATGGTGCTAATATCTAACCTCAATCAATCCATGAAATTGAGCGACTATCATCCATTGTACTGAGGTTTTCAATAGTGGTCTAACATCGGTCGGTTGATGATCTCAGTCAAAAACTTAATATTCTCCAGTGTGTCCAGAGTATAACTCAACAACAGGAAAGGTAACCACAAATTTATTAGTCAGTAGGTTAAGTGCTTGTTTATCCACACTCAGTGACCAATCATATTTTGCCTTCACCACGTTATAAATGGATATTGAGCTGCAAGAGAAGGGAGTAATGACACAACGGAGAAACTAACAGAGAAATATAGTAAACAAGAGAGACCAGCCCAAGTGAACATTGAAGCAGCACACTGTGATGATGAATACAAGCCGTAGACCTTCGAACACTATCTTCCCCCATAAAATAATGTTGGATCTTCGTATCCCCAAGTTATAGATGATGTTGCTTTATTTACATCATATTACTCGCATTGATTACACGATTCATTAGAAGTAACTTCATGATAAGGATAAACCGCAGTTGATTTAGAATCATAACCAAAATCGAGCTCATTTAGGACTCGTGCTTCTCATTGAACAAGTTACCCACTAGAAATAAATGCATTACGAGGATAAATAAGGTTTGATATAACAATAAGATTTGATTCTTCTGACATATTTTTGAAATTTATTAAGAATGTTTTTGAAAAATGATGATGCCCTAGTACGGCCGAGAATGGGGACAGTCTGCTCATATGGCCACGCGTATATGGCCTCTGTCAGGGAAGTCATACTTACTGTCTTCTCGTGGCACTAATGTTGTTTATGAAAATGAGAGGACGAAAAGCGAATGTCGGACGCTTTAACCGGATTCTAAACCAATGCTGCACAAGGGCTCCAGTATCCTGAAGGAACAAATGGCGTATAAACCAATCGTTGGTCACCGGCTGGCTACCATGAGACTGCATCTCCTCACGATGCTCCACTGCCTTGTGGACCAGGTCGAAGGCTCGGGGTGTGGTCTTGTGAGAAAACCACCTGCTTCGATTTGGGCACCCGTTCAGTATCACAGCCCTCACACACATCTAATGAGATCTGTGTGGCGCATATGTATTCGGTGCCTCCTCGTACCAATGTCTACGTGTTAAAATAAATAAATAAGAATCATTAGAAAATTCAACATCTATCAAATTTCCAATCATGACTTGATCCATTCAACAGATTTGTAAGGAATTTCAATAAAAGTATGTAAGTCGATAGGACGAACCGTATCTGGCACGATTGTAGTGAACAAGAAAACAGGCGTGGACTACTAAATGTAATTCAATATAACATTACGGAATATCTTGGTAAAACCTGAAAACCATACAATGAATACTTCAGTTGCAAAATGTCAATCAATTGTCTCAGATTTTGTTGTTTCTTAGTTCACACACCAATTGGTCGTTGTTCTCGTTCTCTTCGTAACCTTCTGTCGCCATGCATTTCACTTTCGATTGGTGCTACCCAGTACTTATATCTGACAACTTCAGCAGCACACAATGACATGAGAAATCCGATAAGTTGACTGACTGGAAACTTTGTCTCACAGTGATTCTGGATTTAATTAGATGCACTTCTGTTTATTGTATTGTTCCAATTATTTTTTGAATACGTGTCTCCAGTTTTCTTGGCAAACACCACATAAAGTATACGTTTGTTTTGGCTGAAGTTCAGTGCAGGACTGACAAGGCTTCATTCAATTCTGGATTGCTATATGATTCTATGCTGTGTTTATAAATCGTGGATTCAAATGGTTATGGACGGAATAGAAGAAGCTTTCGCTTAACAGGCTTCCGTGTCTAGTAGCAGGGATCACCAATTCCACCAGGCAAGAACCTATGTATATTAACGATAAAACGGAAAAAAATAAATTGGTAAATCATAGTAAAATACTATCCTTAGTCCTTAAGAATAGATCAAGTCGCCTCTTAAAGGACGACGACAATAAATATCAGTTCTACAATATGCTGAAATCAATCATCGCGAAGTGCACAAGAAAGGACTTTACCATTCTGATGAGAGATCTAAACACCAAAGTCGGGATAGATAACAATGTATATGAAGATATCATGGGACGGTATGGAATGGGGGAAGATTTGAAAATCTATGTGCATTCAACAAATTGGTCATAGGCGGCACAATACTCCCTTACAAGCGTATACACAAAGCTACATGGATCTCATCGAACCACACCACAGAGAACAAGATAGATCATATTTGCATCAATAAAAATTTCTGAAGGACAAAGGAAGATGCGAGAATCACGAGAGGAGCTGACATAACTTCAGATCACCATCTAGTTGTGTCCAATTTAAAACTGAAGCTAAACAAGAACTGGAAAACTGAACAAACAGCACTATAAAGGCTCAATACAGCCTTCCTTCGAGATACTAACAAATTCAACGAATCAAAGTGAGCTCTCAACAACAGGTTCCAAGCCTTACAGGATCTACTGAAGGAAGAAGAAACTGCTATGGAGGAGAACTGGAAAGATATCAAAGAAGCATTAACTTCAACGTGCCAAGAGGTTCTGGGTCTCAAGAAGCATCATCAAAAGGATTGGATCTCTATAGAAACACTGGATAGGATCAAAGGAAAGAAGAACAAGTAGACAGCAATTAACAACAGTCGAACACGAGTAGAGAAAGTCCAAACACAAGCGGAATACATAGAAGCAAACAAGCAAATGAAGAAAAGTATTGGAGCCGACATTCAGAAATACGTGGAAGAACTAGTAACGACGGCGGATAAAGCTGCAAGAGAAAGAAATATAAGACAGCTTTATGAAACAACAAAGAAACTAGCAGGGAAATATAGTAAGCCAGAGAGACCAGTCAAAGACAAAGAAGGAAGACCAATCACTGAGATTCAACAACAGCGGAAAAGATGGGCAGAGTGCTTCAAGGAACTCCTGTCAGCAATAGGGAAAGTCTTTAACAGAATGTTGCTGGACCGGATAAAAGATTCAGTAGACGCCCAGCTTCGAGATCAACAAGCTGGATTCCGCAAGAACCAGTCGTGCACAGACCAGATTGCGACTCTATGGATCATCGTCGAACAATCAATTGAATGGAATTCGTCATTGTACATCAACTTCATTGACTATGAGAAGGCATTTGACATTGTAGACTGAAGAACGTTATGGAAACTTCTTCGACACTACGGAGTTCCTGAGAAGATTGTCAATATTATCCGAAACTAATACGACGAACTACAGTGCAAAATAGTGCATAGAGGACAGCTGACAGATGCATTCCAAGTCAGACATACCTGGGAAGCATCGTCGATAAACAAAGAGGGTCAGATGCAGACGTAAAGGTGAGGATTGGCAAAGCAAGGGCCGCACTCCTTCAATTGAAGAACATATGGAACTCAAAACAACTTTCAATCAATATCAAAGTCAGGATCTTTAATACGAACGTCAAGATAGTTCTACTGCACGAACCTGAATCTTGGAGAACTACAACAACCATCATCAAGAAGGTAAAAGTATTTATCAATAGCCGTCTATGCAAGATACTCAACATCCATTGGCCGGATAACATCAGCAACAGCCTTTTGTGGGAGAGAACCAACCAGCTTCCAGCTGAAGAGGAAATAAAGAGAAGACTATGGAAATGGATTGGAAATATATTGAGGAAATCATCAAACTGAACCACGAGACAAGCGACAACTTGGAATCCTGAAGGAAAGCGGAAAAGAGGAAGGTCAAAGAACACATTACGTTGGGAAGTAGAATCGG